CACAAAAGATTTAACGAAAAAACCAGTTTCAGTCCAAAACATAAACTTCTGTAGATAATAAGGCCCAAAAGATTTGAATCCATTTGCAGATGGCCCAGCTCAAACATTGTAGACTTATATACTCGGTTACTCCTCAAAAAATTAGAAGCCTATCCAGCTACATCATTCTTCAGTTTTGCTACTCTGAAAGCTTAATTTGATGGGCTACCCAAACTCATGCCAAAACGCGAGAGAGCGATTCTACCTTAGCTACGGAGATATTTTTCTGAGTGATCAATATTATATACTTATATGCTAGGTAACAAGGTGCTAAAAGTTTCGGCCACGTGATGAGTAAGACACTGATATGAGCATTTATCTCTTGTGACGCCTAATAATTTCTTGATTTGTTCGTTAATAAGTAAAGACTTTAGTCTCCCAAAGACGATGTTATTGAAGAACAAGATGTTCAATAAAGCTATTAGGGTAAAAATTGTACTAATAATCTTCACCATTAACATGCAACATTCTTGTAAAACATATTGTAATGAAATTTGCGGTTCAAAACACGTGTAAACTATGAGAAATCAGTGTTCCCGGAATATGAGGAGATACACCGTATGCTATTATATAAGTGGAATGAAATTTTATTTTTAAGTGTACTTTCACTTGTAAAATAAAATGTGGTATCACCCCTTATTACGGACACACTGAAATAGTTTGTTTGATTGTCATCTCCAAAATTAGATCAAAAAGAGACAATCTGAGCCGTCCGATCTAAGTCTCAAATGTCTAACCCCGATATACAATTTCCCCAAAACACCTAATAGATATTTTATTAGGACATGATTAGTATTTAGTTGGATAGTGGAAGCCATGAACTTAAACAAGAAGATAGCACTACGCAGACAAACATTCCATCCAAGAAGCCACTCACCCACAAAACGTGGTCAAGTTCCACTAATTTAATGATTTCTTCATTTCAAAATGTGTTAACTAATTTAATCATTTTTCTTTTTTTTTTTTGACAAGAATTTAATCATTTTTCTTTTGTTGCAATTTTTGGAGTTAAATATGAATTGCTTAGTCACTCCCTTTTTGTAACACAATGTTCCCTTCACGATAACAATATTTAGAATAAAGTTAGAGCTAGTCCATGAACTAAAAATATATTGATTGCGGTTTTTTTTTTTTTTAAGTAATCAATTGGTTCACTACATCAGTTCATTTTTCTGAGGGTCAGAAAAACTCATATAGGCATTTCAATATCTCTTGACCACCATCGTGTGATTCGCCAGTGTCTGGAATCAAATATAAGATATGCCATGTATTATTGCTCCATACCATAAATTTAAATAAAAAAATTCAATTAGTATGATGATGTGACACTCAGGTAAAATTAATCTAAAGTCAATTCTAAATAGAGAAAGTTCATAGAGTAATTTTTTTTTTTTTTTTTTTATCTAATACATGTATTTCAAGTTTCATCATTTATTCAAAATCATTGTACTATTTCATTTGTGCTTTGCTCTTATTTTGCATTTTAAATAGATCTTTTCATACTTTCCGTCGTGCTATTTCTAAAGAAAATTGGTCACAAAGCTCCTCCCTCAATACTATTATGTGTATGAAGTTTTGGGATCAACCCTAGATCATTTTGAAAGTACAAGTATTCAAACCACTTCGTCGGTGTTTCACTCCAATTTAATGTTTCTTTATCTTCTTTTGAGTTTAATGAAAGGGGGCATGCACATCAATTGCATGTAGTCGGTAACAGAGAAGATGGAATCGAGAGATTTTTCAATATACTTGGAACACATAGTATTTTTTTAATTGTCCGTTATATGTCATTGGGAGAGGTTTTTTTTTCTTTTTTTTTTCAAGCCTCTCTATTTGTATAACGACGTATGTGATCATATTCTAAACATACGGAAAAATGTCTCTAGAATCCTACCATTCATTATGGTCATCTTATTATTCCCAGACGTGCCTAATAAATCTTCAATTATCTTTTAATCTCGAAGCATAATGAAGTGGTTCCTTGTTCGGTTGAAGCCATTATGGAAGTGATTGCATTAATATAAGATCAGATTTAGCAATTTAAGGAGTATGGTGGGGTGGGTCTTGGAAACTGCATACAAGAAGCGTCCACGTGGCCTCACGTGGAGAGTGCCAATTCACCATGCCTACGTAATAATGAGAGTAATGAGGATCCTCTTCGGATTCTTTTAGTGAAAATCTGATAATTCTCAAATCATGTCCATTCATCGTACATCGTACGACTATAAATTATTTTAAATATTTTTATTTAAATTAAACATGAATAATAACTGACGAAAACCGCAGAATATACGATAAATGAACACGATTTAAAGATTCACGGAATCCTCACAAAGAAGATCCGGAGAGGAACCTCATTCTAATGAGAGAACCAATCCCCATGCTCTGTCCTAGCTGTAAAATTTAGACGAGCTTATATTATAGCCTCCCAATTAACTATGGTGATACCAATTATCGACCTTTTCTCGTAACTTTAAGTTGAGTAAAGTTAGCTAGAGAATTTATTAAAAAAAAAGGTGGCTAGAGGATTAAACATAAGAGAAATGTTAAGAGGATTTTCTCAAAAGTGAAACTTTTTATATACTTTTTGTCACTTCACATTTTAACGCTAATTCTCGTATCAATTTTATAAAATATTGTGCCAAAAACATGAGGGGACATGGAGTCTATGAAGAGTCTCACTTTTAAAAGGTAATCCCTAGCATTTCTCAAGACAAAATTACTCTCTAGAAAATGTAAGGGGGTAAAATAAAAAATTATTATTTGTATTTTGGATACAATGATATATTTACACTAAATGGACAAAGAATCAATTGGTTGCGTGCTCGTCATTTCAAGATTTGAACCTCTTTCGTTTAAGGCAACCCTCTTTGTAATCAATTTTACATTTTTTTTTAACAACCGATATTATTTACACTAAGAGGAGGTGGTGGGTTTAATCTCACAATGAACTAGCAATTATGTGATTCGAATTCGCCTTTGACGATAGTTAAACCTAAGATCTCTCACTTACAAGTAAAGAGGAATACCACTAGACCGTAGTACTAAGTGACTAGTTTTATGTTTTTTTTTTATATATTAAATAAGCTTACTCATAATTTTTAAATCAAAGATAATATAGAAATTAATCATACTATTTTTATTTGCTTTTTTACTATTATAATTTGTCAAGTTAACTTCCTTTTTTGCTGTCTAATATTTTGATCTCGTACGGTTTCCCCGACACGTCACTTCCGTTATAACAATTAGTAACTACACTAAGGGTTGGTATGAAAATGTTTTTAAAATTGTTAAACGCGTTTTTAATAAAAATATTTTTGAAATCAATTCTTAATAAAAATAAAAATGAATATTGAAAAAGTACTTAAAATGATTTCCACAATAAGCACTTTTTTTTTTGTGGTAAAGATGCAAGAAGCACTTCGAATGCTTTTGAAAGTTAAAAAACATTTTTTCTAAAAAAAATTTCAATCATTTTAAATACACTTACAAATGAACTTTAAAAAATCATAGGGCAATTACAGATTGAGTTCGTGTCAACAAGAATTTAAACACAATTAGAATCAACTCGAACAATACAAAATTTAAATAAATTTATCAAATTGCGGGATTTGTTGCTCGAATGGCTCCACAGGACAGAAGTCGGACGAGGCAGCACCATTCGCTGCTTGACCTGAATGATTTAAGCGAAGGTTGAGGAATTGTGGGCCCCCTGTGTTGTGTTTTTGCTATAGTCGCATTTCAGGTTGATATTGACTTAATCTAAATCGATACATTTGGAGCGTGAACTAGAATTTTGAAATTGGTAAATTATTTATTTAAGCTGGTGCTATCTACGTATTTATTTTTAAATTTTACACATTTTTTTAATTTCTGATCGTTGAATTGAATAAATTTAAAAAAATTAATGAACAAAACTTAATAAAAATATGTGAAAGGTAAATAAAAAGTGTATGAATAACATTATCCTTCAAGCAAAATTATTGTATTATTTTTTAAGTAATAAAGAAAGTTCAACTACTTTTTCATTAGTTTAGTCAAATAAAAGAAACAAATTGTACTAATATTTTCCATAATGTATTAGAAAGAAAAAAATTGTAGCAATAGTCCACTAATAGTTTCTTAACTCATCAAAACGTGCAGCTATGTTTCTTTTTGTCACTTTGTCATAATTCCGTCAAAATGACTCATCTTAGAAGGACTATGCCACAATTGAGTTAAAATTAAGGGATCGTTGCTTCAATTGGGTTAAACTTGAGGAACCATTTCTCCAATTGGGTTAAGGTTGAGATATCATTGCTACAATTTTTTTCATTTGGTTTTCCATATTTATCCCTTGATTTAGCCTCACGTGTGTGGTATGTGACTCATTTTGATGGAAGTTCTAACGAAGTTAGCAAAAAGGACTATAGATGCTCATTTTAATGAGTTAAAGGATCATTGGTCATGAATTTTTAAATGAGGGACCATTACTCCAATTAAATTAAAATTGAGTGGGTATTGCTACAATTTCCTTTATTAGAAATTTCATTAGTTTAGCATTATTATGAGGCAAAATTTCTTTTAAATTGGATTTTTAAATGAGAAAATGTGCACAATAATGAAAAGAAAAAGCAAGTTAGTTGACAATCAATGCTCAAGTGAAAACACATGGGACGAAGATGTGAGAAAAAATCATGATTGAAAGTAAAAATTCAAATAAATTACGAGGATACGAAGTTATTGCACTTACTTAGCAAAGAGAGAAATTTTAAACCCAAAACACATAAGTCGGTAAAATTTTTACTAAGATATTGACTACATGCAACACTTGCATTTCATTATAAGCAATAAACTATTTCATTAGCATAACGTATGTGAAAATTCAAGTAAACTACGAGGACTTTTCTAGTAAAAATTCTAATTTGTTGCCAAGTCAAGGCACAAATATATATATATATATATATTGACACATTCTTTTGGGGAATGTTGGGTTCTTGCTTCCACTCCATTGCAGTTTTCGATTTTTTTGTTTTCGAGAGACGGCTTGTGGGGATCGGAGGTGGGAACTTAGTCACAATGGTCTTCGCCCTCCTTCTCTGACTTTTCCATTCCGTTCATTCCATTACCTCCTCCCAACTTTTTGTTCCCTTTCCCTTCTGGAATCTCATTCCGTTTGTCCTCTCCCTCACGGACTGCAAATTTCCAGGACCAGAAAATCCACTTCTTCGTCGTTTTTCTCCTCCAGGTCTCTTCCGAGAAAATCCACAGTTTCGAGTCTCTCCGCCATTAATGCGAGTTTCTCACGTGTGTCTATATCTCTCGTCAAGCAAATATATTCACAAAGAAGAAAGGAGAGGAATGGTTTTCTAATCCTTCTTCATAATCCAACAATTTCCCATTTTCTCCTGAGGAATTCCATTTCCGATCGTTTAGAAAAACACCCTTTTGATTTTTGATCGAATCTCGTTTGTATCCAATCGAGCTTCGGCGGTTTTGGGGTCCGATGGGTTGCGCAACCTCGAAGGAAAAGCGGTGCCGGCACTGCGAAAGCGCCATTTCTCCGATTTCCCGAAGCTACTCGATGCATGTCCACCACCCGCCGCAGACCAAAGGTGACAGCAACCATGTCGTCGCCCTCACCTCCTCCACTTTAGGTTCTCTCAACCGCCCTGAAAACAGAGTAATTGCTAACGGATGCGATGATACCAACGAGAACATGATCGAGCACGAGAACAAGGAATTCTCAGTGGGACTAATCGAAGCCAAGACGTGGTCGAATATGATCGAAGCGAAAATCCCAAAAGTTGTGCCAAAAACTCCGACCAGGACTCCGCCGGGCGAGCCGGAGACGATCAATACATGGGAGTTGATGGAAGGCCTCGAGGACATGAGCCCTCTCAGGTCGCCAGCCCATCACCTTCGGAGCTTTTCTTTCGACGTTGTTCGGGACCTGTGTCCGAGGCCGATTTCCCCTTCCGACCGCCAGAAATCGAGATTCCAAGAAAATGGGAACTCTCCCCCTAAGCCGCAGCCAATGTGGCTTCAAATATCGGATGACAATGATCAGGTGAAATCCAATTCTTTGATTGCAGATTTTGATCCGGATGTGATCTCCGCGTTCCGGAAATCATTATCGGAGATCAAATCCGAGGAAGATCCCTTCGATTTAGCGCATTTGGTAGTCAGCAAGGAGCCGGCTTGGGCCTGCAATGACGTGTTGGAGGTCCAGGACAAGAAGGGCAGGGACAGAGTGGTGTTGTACTTCACGAGCCTCCGAGGGGTACGGAAGACGTACGAGGATTGTTGCCACGTGCGGGTGATACTGAAGGGCATAGGGGTCCGGGTGGACGAGCGGGACGTGTCGATGCATTCGGGGTTCAAGGAGGAGCTGAGGGAGCTCCTCAAGGACAGGTACAATGTGGCTCCGCTGCCCAGAGTGTTTGTGGGGAACAAGTACGTTGGCGGAGCCGATGAGATTCGGCAATTGCACGAAGACGGAAAGCTCGAAAAGTTGCTCGATTCCTGTGAAAAATTGGATGGCGGTTGTGGCGGCGGAGATGGTGGTGGAGTTTGTGATGCTTGTGGGGATATAAGGTTTGTGCCTTGCGAAACATGTTCAGGGAGCTGTAAGATATATTACGAAGACATTGATCGCGACGGCAAAGAAGAGGAGGAGGAGGAGGCGGAGGAGGGTGAATCGGGGTTCCAACGCTGCCCGGATTGTAACGAAAATGGCCTAATACGCTGCCCCATATGTTGCTATTAGTCCTAAATTCAGGTACTGATTAGTTTTAACCATTTTTGTGCTTATTTTCTTCTTCTCTTTTGGGTTTTTTTGTTGGCGAGTTGTTTGTTGTACAGTAAAGAGTTTTGGTACATTTGATGAGAAAAGAAAAAAAAACTGCAATAGGAAACAGTGGAATAATCTTTCAAGCAGATATAGGTTCCCTCAACCTATATGAGAAAGCCTTGTATTGTAAGACTATATGAACCTTTGCAAGAATCTGAAGGCCACATTTGAAATGCATATTGTCAGCCATGATGAATGGACATGGTGGTATCTCTTCGTATACCTGCATCATGTTGTATTTCTGTTTCCTTGTCCATGCATTGTAGATTGTCAGCTATTTGTTCTTGTTTCACGTACTAAACCTGATTAAGACAACTCTCACACTGAATGAAACTAGTGTAAGGTCATACGAGATTAAAATATAGAGCATCATACTGTTGTCAGAAATTCTCAATTAAAAACATAATTGGATGCGGCCACACAAGTTTATTTCCTTCTTCATCATGATATTTTGAATTTTCTTTTTCTAATTACAAACACTTGACTTAAAATTGATGCCAAAATTATCACCAACGAGAAATCTACTTTATCACCGATTGTACAACTATCGACTCCTATATATTATACAAGAAACAAATCAATATTATTATAGTTAAGCGTAAAATCGTAGCTTGAATAATTTATTCATACACAATATTATTTTATGGTGTATTGTATTTGTATAGTAGTTGGCTTTAACCATCTCAGAGATAGAAGGGGTCATCCAACATCTTTGATGCGTCATGTTCATGCCAAGCACATTAGGTGGATGAAACCACCAAGGGTCAATGTCGGCGAAACAACAAAAGTTTAGTGCCCTAGTCAATCCACCGTCTTTCGACTTCTCACCAATTTGAAACATACTCAATTCTTTTCACAGACAAAATATAATTTGACATCTGACATGCGTAAAAATTTACTCTATTTTGATTTATTTTAATAATAACTTGCAACTTACACACTTGTGTCAAATTGTAATTTTTGGTATAAAATTATAACTCATTACATATAAAATGTTAAACAATATTCAAGACGTCATGTGAAATAATGACAGCTTTTTGAGTGAGTCTTGCTAATATTTTCTGTATATTTAAATAAAAGTTTCTGAAAAATTAGGTTCTGCAAAATAAACAAATGCCCCCTTTATCTTTAGCTTTGTTGTCAAAGCAAATGTGTGGCCCTCAAAGTGTATAAAAAAACTTGGAGTCACCTGAAGCGAATGAACGAAGCCGCAGACTAGTTTTTATATAGAAATTAGGTTGACTACGCAGGCAGAATACAATATCATGACATGGTGCCGCTAAGGGACACTAACACAATACAAATTAATGAATATTGAGTGCCAAAATTTTTACCATCTCTCCTTTCCTATTCTCATCTCTCGTTTGGGCAATCAAAGTCATATTAGGGTTTCGAGGCAAGGGCTCTTACTTATAATCAAGAATATATCATCTTAAGTTTAATACGCATCACGTATTTTTATTATTTGGGTACTTATCGGATGATGAGTGTTGTAAAACTTTGTTCGTGGCATTGGATTCTTTCTTTTCTGAGATCTTAAAAATTTTGATTATGACCACCTGACCACGTTATTCGTAAATATTTCCATAAAAGCATGAAACTCTTTGTATTTCACTCTCATTAATTCTAAGTTGGTCTCATAGAGTGCGAGAACAGTCATAAATGGACAGTCCTATTGAAATGTCGTTGTAGCAGTTAACATGGTGGGTAAGGCGGAAAAAGCTCTAACATCGGATGTAACAATTGGCTACGTGATTTGTTCCAAAAAAAAAAACACAATTGGCTACGTGACACTTTGCATCCAATCAAATCATATCAATTTGGGTTGTTAAGAAATAGAGGGCACATTAATGTGGTGACCAAAAAGAAAGGGAAGGAGATCATCTCTGTATCCATTATACCTAATTCTCATCATTAAACAATTTGAGTCCTTAAAATTTGATTCAATGGCTAAAGTTATTATAACTTTTAAAGTGGGCCCATATTTTTAGCCGTTGGATCAAATTTCAAGGATCCGAATTATTTGATGAAGAGGATTGGGTGTCAGGATCCATTTCCAAAAGAAAGGGATAGGAAGAAAAGAGTGTAATGAACAACTATTTCTTGTCGAAAACATTATGTCATTTAATAAAACAGTCCCATTAATTTAAAAGGGTAACGACATTATCTAAAAGTTGCATTTGGGTTGCCACTTAGTACAACTTTGAAAAAAAAAAAGAGTTAATGATCCGACTCGTTAATGAATTCTTAACAAGTGACTCGATAACGACCTGACTCTTTAACAAATTAACCTGAGACCTGCTATTTTCATATCGTTTTGCATTCGATTAACAGCTCGTTTAAGAAATTGCCAAGTATCAGGCGCGTTTGCCCTATGTTCGGCTGATTCCCTGGAAAGTGAAAGGGGAAGCAAGTTCCAGGCTTTCTAGTTGTATAATAATATGCTTTGAATGATGGGAGTCTTAAACAAACCATGAACCAAACAAAGCGTAGGAGGAGCAAAGTCAGTGAAGATTCATAATCTGCAATGACCATAAAGCTGAGATCTCATGATCCAAAACCAATTGATTAATCAATCTTATAAAGCATGATTCTCCTAAATTAGGACAACTCTCACATCGAGTGAGACCAGTGTAAAATGAGGTGAGATTAAAATACACTTATACTTTTGTGAAACGCGTCCAAAAATAGATATCTCAGAAGCGACAGACACTGCATCTGGACCCTTTCGGCCCCACCCGTTTCTAGAACTTGCCGCACAGGGTAGCCGCAACCTACAACTGCTCCGTAGATGGTGGCTCAAAAAAAAAAAACAACATGATTTTAAAGTTGGAAGAACGTCACGGGGTCGTTTGAAAGTAAAGACTTGAGCAGGAGTAGCTGCTGTGATGCTGAATAAGTGTATAAATAAGTGCACAATGACTGGTTGGCAGATGAAGAACATCATAAAAAAATTAGGAAGTAGTTGATGGGGAGGCAGAGGGAGTTGTGAAGCTTAAACCTTAAATGATGAAAACTAACAACCACAACTGTGATGAAATTAATGATATCTGAAATATTTAACATTAATTCTGGTTGTTACTTGGAGTGAAGTCCCAGTTGCTGATCTTCCAGGGTGCTTGCTGATTGCTTGCCTTCCAAGAATGGTAGGTTTCAAATAATCGGGTCAAACGTGTTGATGGAGCATATTGAATGGGTCATCGTTTGCATCAGTGTTTTGACTAAATTACTTCAGACCAATTAGGCGGAGAAACACTTGCATGTCATGACTTCATATTTTCTCTCTATCTCTTTGTTTAACTGATCAGGTGAGGCAAGAGATGAAGAAAGAAAGCGGATATGAGCCCGGGATACCAAACACATGTTTATCATGGTGAGTGTTATTGGGTTCCAAAAGCACTTGAAGTGTTTCCTGCAAGGACCAGTTATGTGCTTCTTGCAGGAAGCTCTTCAAGTGTTTTTTCATGATTTGCTTGCATTTTTACTAAGGATTGTTTTCAAACGTACTCTCATCAAAAGCGTTTTCAGTCATTTTAAAAACACTTCCAAACTAACCATTTGTCACTTTAAGCACCAATGCTTGAATGTGATATACTACGACTTTAAACACCAACAATTTCCAACCAAAGTTGGCATGTAACAAAAGATGATTTATTTGCAGAGAAATTGGTAGACACAAAACAATCTAGACAAATGTTGGACCTTATTTACCGCCATGGGTACCCAAATTGGCTGCAGCTTTGCTTGCACGAGTCAATACATCTGAAAACCAAAGAGCTCCTTTGGCAAAGTAGCTGCTGTTGACCACAGCGCTTCCTGCTGCCACAGCTGCTTGCCCAGTATACGTAGCAGCCACCACAGCTGCCGTTCCAGTAACGGTTGCAGCTGATTTGGTGATATCTGAAACATGGAACTTCTCGTCCACGGTTTTAACAACTTCCATGCCTGCGTAAATTTTTTCAGTGAGGCCGATTCTGTTGCTGAGCTCGCAAACCTTGGCTGCTGCAGTTGCTGAGAGTTGATGGGACTCGTCGAAAGCTTTGGCCTTGGTTAATGCGTCTTTTCCCAAAACATATCCCTTGGCTGCCATTGTTTTGACAACAGTTACTGCTTCTCCAGGAGTAGAGATGAACTGACTCGTGTGATAAGTCTGATAACGTCGTACAAATTTGAGAAATAATGAAGTTTGAATAGAATTTTAAACAGACAATTTTTCAGAAGCACATGAAAAATTTGTTATGCTAAGCTCGTACTGTGATAAATCTTCATCCAAAACAACAAAGCAGTTAATTTACACGTACCGTTAAGCTAGTATTGCCTTCGGGGTTGTAAGGACTGTTCCAAGCATCGGATTCATCAGTATAACTTCCCCACCTTGTTATGCATACACATTGATCTACAATCCTAGCTCCCTGAAGTTGGGACGGACGGACAAATCAGTGGACAACCAATATCAAATATCTGAGGCATTTTAACACTAAAAATTTATCCATATGAACACGTAATCGTTTTTTGGAGTAAAAGTGCACAACCAAACGTCAGGCAGGTGTAAGTTCTACCCGACTTGCATATGAACACGTAAAATTTATCCATGTACTATCCGGACAAAATGCCTAATTACATCTAATCGAACATCACGCAAGTGCAGGTTCTACCCGACTTTTTATGGACATCTAGAGCTAATGACTCGATGATAGCGATTGCATTTATGGACTGAATTAAGCAGGGAAAAACGAACTTTTCCATTCGAGAAGCATTTGCAGGGTAGAATGACCACCAACTTACACTGAGTAGTATAGCAGTCTGCAGAGCAAAAGCATCTTTGAATGTCACATATGCGGTACTGGCATATTCACCAGATCTGTTTCCAACAACAAAAGCATTAATCAGATACACATTCATTAAGGAAATTCAGAGGACTTAATTAACTGAGGATTGTGGAAACTAGAACTCGTGCAAACATGACTTCTCAAATTCGATCTTTTGAACCTTGTCTTCTCACTTTTGAAGATTTCTCAACCAACCCTCGTTGGCTGCAGTGATGACTTCTAAACTCATGGAAATCAAAATTAAACCTTTTATACTGCCGACTTCAATTTCTTTAACAACTAAGTACGACGTAAGGAAATTGAAGAGGCTTCACATAAGTCATTGTTCCTTTTAACCAATTTCCAAAAACAACCTGCTTCTGACTGATTCAATGAGTTTACAGTGAACAAACCCCACACATAAAACATGACTAGACAACCATTTTCCAGATTCAGTACAAAAATTCGGAATCATTCTCAATAATTAGAAGCAGGGAAAGATGAATTCTACCTGATGATTTCAACATGCTCAACTGCACCGCAGTGACTGAAAAAATCGTAAACATCCTCTTCTGTAGCTTTAGAGGACAAGCTTGTAACTTCAGCGGTGTATCCACCCGGGTACATTTTCCCGAGAAATCACTAGAAGAAAAAGCTGGACCGAGAGAACCTAGGAAAATGAGAGGATAACGAAAACCAGCTCATACAACGAACGTAAATGAACATCAAAAAATCATTTCGGTCATTGAACTTGGACTCGCAACAGCATTTCACAGCAAGGTTTCAGCTTTCTAGCATAGAATTCCTAAATGGAGGAACAAACAAAAGGGATAAGAAAGTTTTCAGAAACAGATAGAAGGCATTGTCATGTTTCAATCCATATGCCATGTGATGATCATCTATTACCCCTAAGTGGTCCCTCCATAACTAACATAATTTGACAAGAAGAACAAGAAAAAAAATTGAATGCTTCTAACATCTAGTGAAATCCATGAGTTTTACAATGAGAACTTGATTACTCAAAAATTAAAGTTAAAAACTTAAATCCATCAATGCCATCACCGTGTGGTGTTACTAATTCACGTGGCAGTGCAAAAGTTACTACGTAAATGCATCATCAAGTAATGCAGCAGTTATAAGCATAATTACTGATTATAATTCTGGAAGAAATAAAGAAAGAGGGTAATCCTCAGGACCATCACAGAAAGTCAATTCCTGAGGAACCAGTGTCAACTTGCATTACAGAATCAAAGCAAGTCAAAGAATGATTAGTGGGAAAAGTGATAAACTTTGCTCTGATTGATTGCCGAGATGATTCTTGTAATGATAATTCGGAAAATTAATGAACTGAAAAACCAAGATAGAAAAGCTTATGAATTTGATAATTATTGCAGTTTACATACCAGTTCTTGAATCTTGATGCGAGTTGCAGTAGCACTGTGAGAGGCTCCAGCGAAGAAGAAGTGGAGCGTGGCGTTTGATTGCCGTTGGAGGAGCGTAGGGTTATCTTTTTGTGACGCCGTCGGAGATTTTTATGATCCGATTGCCGGGGAATGATCTAGTTTTCTGTTAGGATAGAACCATATAATCTGACTATAGATCCAACTTAAATTTTAAACGTGAATTGTCCCTTCTGTCCTTGTGAAATAATTACTATCAAATACACAATAAAATTATCAGTAAGACTATAATTTATCGATAAATTCATATTTAATAATCAAACTCTTACCATCATTGATCATACAATCTAACTTCTTATTTTAGCTAAAACTTTAAGACGTTGTCTATAGAGGAAAAAAAAAAATTCTTTTTGCCGGATGGATGATGATTTTGAAGTTTTGGATCCATTAAGGTATGAATTGGCTTATGACGATTTTGGATCCTCCAAATAAGATATGAATCGAGTTATGGATCTTCCAAAACCAAGGTCAATTTGCAGTACGATCACTGAACTCTTTAACATCTTCCCACTGATGAAAACTGTTTCGAGAGGCCTAGCTATCCATTGTGCTGCATGAATTGGCTGTGTAAAAGATCATATCTATGTTGCAGAATTTCGTCCAGATTTTTTATTTGAGGGAATGATTATCATCGGTTTTCTGTTAGGAACTACATATACTTCACACTTTTGTTTCCCCCTTATTATCTGGAAAAACTTAAAAGAAAAGTGAATTAGTAAAGGAATTCAGATTGTTGCAATTTCCTTATTTGTTAGGATACAAGGGTTCTCCATAAATCACTTCAAACAATGTTTAATTGGAAAACGATAATGTTTAGCAAACTAAGAAAATATAAAATTAGTTCAGTGGGGGACATTAATTTATCGACATCACCACGACCAAGTCAAAATTCATTTTAAAAATGATCAAACTACAATGACCAAATTCAAGAACATGGGTTTTTGGGTCAACAAAAAATTGAAGACAAAAAAATTTCAAAAAATGTTATTTCATTTAATGGTAAACTATTAAAATTATTGCGTGTGTCTAATAGAGGTCAAAAAATTTTAATTAAATTCTTTGCCGGATGGATAATGATTTTTTTCTGAAGTTTAGTTATCCATTTAAGTATGAACTGCTGTGATCGCTATTTTTTTAAATATATTTTCTCTATGAAGAATAAATTGTTATGGACTAATTTTAAAACCAAGGAATGGCACGTGTCACTGAAAGTTTAAAATCTTCTATACGTCTTGAATCTGTTTCGAGAGGGGTCTTGCATTTCCATCAATGTTATATGAATTTGGTGTTAAGTATATCTAAAATGTCTTCTACACAAATATTTCGAGGTCACATTATCATTAACGTTGCTTGGGATAATTGTCTTAACACCGTGGTCCCATCAAGCATTGGTAAATGATTTTATCCTTTATGCAGTTGAAGTAGAACGAGAAAATGTAAACAACTTTTAATACAAAAAACACTGAGAAAGAACTCTCCACAGGCAAGGGGAGAGGATGAAGAAAGTGGGGAAACCGCTTTCTTGGAAGGGAAAGGGCCCCCAAATTGAAACCCACGCCAGCACAACGTTTTCCTTAATTCTCCCTTCCCTTCTTCAAATCATTGACCCATTCCGTAATGTTTCCAAACCCTCATTTTTTTGAAAATGAAAAACCAAAATCGTCCGAACCTTTAACCTTTGAACCAGCCGAAGATGTCCGAAACATTTCCAACTACACACACCATTAGTCTCATTGAACTCAGGAACAAGGCCCAAACATTCATGTAGACCTTTGTAAACACATCCTGATTTAATTTCCGCATATATAAAAGCCAAGGGCCCTAATTGAATTTTTTTTCAGGTTTCATTTTTTTTGGTGGTTGTGCCAACCGTTTCACCCTCAAAAGTTAATGTAAAAATATCTGTCCAAAACAAAAAACACTCAAAATGAACGTAAAAAAATTAATATGAAATGTTTGACAGGGTAATTGTGATTTTTACAATATTTCTAATATTGAGGAGTTAAAAGTAAAATTTTTTGGCACCTTTACAAGATTGGTGAAAATTAATTGGGTTGTTCGGATTTTTCTTATTTTTGAAAACCGTCAGACCCTAAGTGAAATTTAAGAACGACGTTAACTTTCTATGTGGACTTTGTAAGTTAGATTTCAGAAATCTTGATCTTAGAGTGTTCTTGGTTTAGAATTCCCTAAGAGTTGTGGCTCCCCTACTTTGTCTTGAGATTCGATTATGGGCTCGTCAACTACGTCTTTTGTCTCTAGATGTCGTATGATTTAACGTAACTAGTGGCGCCATATTGTGTTATACTTGGTTATTAAATGTAATTCCTATTGAATTGCTATTTTTATTTTTAGCCATCAATTTATATGATTTGATTGTGAATTGGAAATATTTATGAAATGTGATTGACGTACAAATTTGAAATGTGGTTTGTGTTGTATGATTGGCATGATGTGATGAAATGTGAGGGCTAGAAGTGGACCATTAACCAATTGTCATGGGGTTTGTTACTTCGACACTTGTTTCACATCTTGTTTTCTTGTTTCACTTTTTGTTTCGTTCAGCCTTTCTAATTGAGTATTTGGTACTTGTATTGTTTCTTCAAGCCGTTGCTATATTCCTTGAACTTCCGCTCGGTTCCGTTGAGCGATCCAGAACTAGGTATCTATTGGGGTTCCGTTGAGTGGTCCGGAATCCCTCGTGATCCACAATTCTATTGAGTGGTCTGGAATTGTATCTAGCTTGTATTTCATTGAGTGGTTCGATATGCATTGTACTCCGTGATTCTGTTGAGTGGTCCGAAATCGTATCCACTCGGATTCCATTGATAGGTCTGAAATCCCTTCTACTCCACGATTTTGTTGAGTGGTCCGGAATCGTATCCTAGTTTGGATTTCGTTGAGTGATCCAGAATCTCCTTGATGTCTTGGTTTCATTGAGTGGTCCGGAACCTAATGTTGATGGATTTTGTTAAGTGATCTAGAATCTCCTTCCAAACGGCAGCCACAGCCTTGGAGGAGTGGATTAATTAGCATCTTGTTTATAACTCTGTTTTCTTATATTGTCTTATACATCAATTTAATTGTAAGATAACTTAACGTAGTACTGTACCACTTACAGTCCAATGTTTCCTTCTCTCTCCTTTTTCCTTTGTTTGTTAGCAATCAAACAAAAGTTCATGTAAATTAAATTACGCTCGCATTTTCCGTGGTTTATGGTGCTAATGATTTGATTAAATAATGTAAATGTTGCATACATATGGTATGCAAGAGTTTTTCTAGTGTGTCTAGAACACGAGACGGTACGTACAACACATTATTTTATAATTGGAAGAATTTTTTTTTTCTCGTATCTCTCTAATTATATAATGATATATGGATGTTCCGTCCCTGATTTGAAGCAAAATGAAAATCTCGAGTATAGGCAATCTCCTCGATGGATTCATTAATGTTTCTTCCAAAGTTGACAACCTCTGCAGATTCAATTAATTAGGCTCTTCATGTTTCTTAATCGAAGGAAATTTCCCATAAACCCTCTCCTAATCATGTACCTACAAGTTTATAGTTTTTAGATGACTCCTTCGATGAATGGTCAAACTCAAATGTCTCTTTTGGATATATGAATGCATTGACCTGATCACAGTGATCAGGAAGCAACGAAGTCACCCGTTTGTCCTTTTATAATTAGTCTAATCTTAATTATATATGTGATTGATTGCCCTATACCGCTTTAACTGTGTGCTCATTTCCTTGATTTTGAGGATGACATTATATGGTTGCATGCATTCATGCATTAACGAATTTATGAATTATAAATTAGGTTTGTCAAAAATATTCATAGATGTGCAACTAGTTGATTGCCCTAGTGGTTAGCGTTGGGGTTCAAACACTTCTCATTTTTTTAGTATAAATTAATATAAATATCGCTTGTAATAATAAAAAATATTCATAGATGTGGGATGCGAACAAGTATGTATATATAAATAAAAATTTTGATTATATTTTCAACAATTCAAATATAAAGAAAAAATCACTACATGGTATATATTAATCTTTGCATGATTAATGTAGGAAGGATCTATTAATTTTCGTGATCAAATTTCTTAATTAAAATTGAAATTTAATAACCTAGTCTCGGGATACCATGTAGAATTATAGAACTTGATGATTGTATTGAGAGCACAAGGTGCACTTATATACACGGTTATGACTTGATGTAAAAGCAAAGCTAACTTAACGTACAAGAATACATGTGGAAAATGGAAATAGGTACATCATCAAGTCCTAAACTTAAGACTAAACGGATTCCTCGTGGAGGACTCCTCTAACAAGATATTGGTCAACCAAAACGACCGGAACCAAAATATCCCATATATTTCAAGCGCTTGCAGCAAAGGATCAGTTAGTCACATTATAATGTGACTGATAAAGTTGTTTTCGTCACACAAAACTCGGCAAACCCCATGAGCTTGAAATACCTTGATGCAATTGCAGAGTAGTGAAATATAACGGAATATGATATATAAGTAATGCTAATTTACATCATGATGCCAAAGGCTACTATAATTTACATCATGATGCCAAAGGCTACTCTCTAATCCAGTCTAAATTCAACTGATTATCAATTAAGCAATATACATATAATTAGATATCCAGATAAACGTTTCACAAGTTGTATGTCAAATATCGAAGATGAGTACTCTTACCGCCTACCATTGAATTGTCAATTTTAACGTCATATTAAAATGTGAGCATTCAATTTAAAATTCAAATAACGAGTGGTAAGGGTCAAAATCATATGAGCTCTTTTGCAAGATTTTAATACGTTGCGGACTCTCAAACTCTTATGACATTCGGATAAACGTTTCACAAGTTGTATGGCAATTAACAAAGATGAGCACTCTTATAGTCTATATCATTGAGTTGTCAGCTTCGATGTCATATCCAAAGTTCCAAAAGATGTTAGGCACTAGTCAGGCGGCGGGTTGGGGCTTAGGTGGACTCGGCGGATTTAAATAAATATATTGTATTTCGTGTAAATAAGTATCTGTTTATACTTAAAATATAAATAATTTCATCATAAACTAGAAAATAGAATGAAATATATATTATGAAGTATTAGAACATAATGAAAACATGAGGAGCAAACATATAATGTGTGTTTATTTAAGTGTTCAATAAGTCTCTTACAATTTATTGGAAACAATAAAATGCAAAAAGAAAGCTATCTATTTTCTATCTTAAGTGAGTTGCAACCTAGGCAGGTGTCTAGGCGGGTCTGTGCAGGCTAGGCGGGTCTGTGCAGGTTAGGCGGTGCCTAAGCGGGTGCCTCAGCAGGTCTAGGCACTTTTCTTAATTTTCAAACGCTTAGGCATTAATCGGGGCGGTGACCAACCACCTAGCGCCTAGGTGGGGTCTAAACAGCGTTAGGCGATGATTTTTAGAACAGTGGTCATAATAAAATGTGAGCATTTAATTTAAAATTCAAACAACGAGTACTGGAAAGGGTCGAAATCATATGAACTCTTATGCAAGATGTTAGTTCGTTGCGGACTCTCAAACTTTCATGACTATAGCTAGGACCCTAGTTTGTGGAGATGAACAAACGACAATCATGATCAAATTATTTTCACGTGAGTGTTTGGTGGCTGTTTTGCTGAACCTTGCGACATATTGGTTTGGCCGATTTGATGTTACTGTGCCACGATTATAATATTAAAACAGGCAAGTTAATTAATAATCTTTCCATGCACGATCGTCTGTTGGAATATAATGAGAAAGACAAGCGTGACAAGTGAGACTTCTACATTACTAAGTTTGAAGTCCATAACCAAAAACCACACTACCTAAAAAGGATATAAACGAAGAGCTAGCACTAATCTTGTGCGTAAATGCAGTGCGGATATACAATTTTCTGGTTTCAATTTCAATGAAATGCAGAATAATGAGGGTGAGTCTTGGCGGAACAAAAAGGTTGTTTCTTTGTGACCAAAAGATCACAAATTCGAGTAGTGGAAATAACCTCTTGCAAAGTAAGAGTAAGGCTACGTATAAATGTTTCCTTCCCAACCCTTGCAAAAGGAAGAGCCTTGTTGGCTTGGGATTGTCTTTTTTTTTTTAGTTTCAATGAAGCCTAGCTAGAATACAGAATGGCAAATGATTTTTTTTCAATTTTTTTCTTGGAAAAATTAGTATCTGGTCCCTAGTTTTTACTGTTCATTGACTAAGACCTTATTAGTTCTCAAATTTTGATTCAAGTCCCTATCATTAATGTGATAATGAATTTACATGTTTATTATATAATTTTTAATATAAAAATTAGTAATTAATTTAGGGTTTAATACTCACACCTCTATTAAACTTCTAATTAATTTTCAATTCAAACATTTCCAAAACAATAAAAAATTAAATTAAATTAAGTTTGTACCTATTAGTTTTATATATATATATATATATAAAAAGATTCTCAATTTTTTAATCTTAAATGTACCCATTCATATGATTTTTCAATTTTTTAAATCTTAAATGTACCCATTCTCAAATATATCAATTTGTTATATGTAAAATGTACCCTTTTTTTAATATAAAAACCATTCAAATTTTTTAATCCATGTTTAAACTTATATGGGTACATTCTTTTTCGTTGATTTGAGAATGTATCCATGTTTTGGTACAATACCTTTTTTTGTTAATTTTTGGTTAATGTACCCATACATATATGTACACACACACGCGCGCGCGCACACACACACACAATATAATAGAGAGTATAATTTATATTTTATTATTTTTAATCCCATAAATTATGGATTTTATTTAAAATCTCATTAATATAAACAATTACAAATTTCAATTTTAATTTTTAATTTAAAAATATAGTAACTTACATTATTATATTAATGTCGAGGACCTTAATAAAAAACTAAAAACTAAAAAGGCTTCAATCAAAGAATATTGATAGTTAGGGACCGCATCCAAAGTGTCCCTTTTTTTTCTTCTGCCCGTTTTTGTTTGTTTGTCGATCCTTTAATTCTCTTTACATTTATTCAATTCAAAGGCAACAATTAAGTTGTGAGAATGTGTAGAAGAAAGAAAAAATGTGCAGAAATCATTTTTGCGTAAAGAAATTACATAGAGTAAATAGGAATTCCTTCTTTATGATAGGACTTGCTAGTAGCAGTGCAAGTCCTTCAATTTATTAAACAAACTAGAATACAGTACGCCTCTAATTAACAACACACATGACATCTTTAAATACATACAGTACTAAGTACTCTAACCTGGAAAGAAAGTAAAAGGACACTTAACTATATAAATTAAAATGCTCTTAGACACACATACACACACATATACATATACATACATACATATATATATATATAATATTAGGGTTTCTCATCATGATCTGATGATCCATCTACTGCGTAATCAAGCTCCTAATTATAGCGGCCTCCGGACTATCAGCATCAATTGTAGAGAGCAGTTGGGAGAGTCGCTCGCTTAGGTCGTCAACCTCTCTGTGTAAGTTTCTGATATAGTTGCAAGTCTCTTGCAGGACCTTCGATGCTGGCACCTGCACCATACAACAAAGCAAAACCCAGATCCCAGTTAGCGCCATAACTACTGGCTTTCTAATATTTCTACAAAGGAAATAATTTTTTGTAACATTACTGCTGCACAACATCATCAAATTTGCTTACCCAAAACAATCTCTCCGTATAACATATTATATATGTATAACGTAATAAATTCTCCAAATTCTAAACATACCATCACATGCCACATGACACGTGACACGTGACACGTGACACGTGATGAGGTTTACTACTAGATGGTCCCAACTCCAACCACGACACTGTTTAGTAATATATGGGTCAATGGGAAACCGATATTAATATTATCAACCCATATATATCTAGTTACCATGGAAAAAATGTATTGATCCCTTGATGTCCGGGTCAAGTTTTTAGACTACTATAACAGTCCAAATAGACTGCAATAGTACAGTTTACATCCGGTCCTAAAGTTACCTCTTTTTGCTCCATTGTTTCTACTGTTGTTGAGAACTTTTCAAATCTAGATGCATATGCAGCATGAGAGAGAATTGTTATTGGCACATTAAAAAAAAAAGTTCTATATTACATATCATATGCGGTTTTAACAACGTATTTGCTAATTTACCTACGATAATGAGTGCAAAATCAATGATTTTTTTAAAGTACAAATAATGACTCCAGTATTATGATCGATGTATTTTCATTGAGAGCAGAGAGGAAGAGTTTACCTTGTTGGAGCGCCTATCTCGAATCTCAGGAACCAGTTGACGTAATTTGGACACCAGTTCGATGATTTGGTCATCTTTGATCGCTGGAGTACCTGACTGCCTTGACCCTCTGCTAGACATGATCCTTACTTACCTAGCTAGACAAGTAGCTAATTTTATATTATCGTTTTCAAAATATATATATGTATGAATGATCAGCCTGGCAATGGAGCTTTATATATATAGGGTTTAGGAACGAGAATATTAACCTAAAAGAGACTAGCAACAGAAAAATACTGGGGAGGGGGGAAAGGAAGGAGAAGTTGATGAAAGAAGGAGGAGAAGGAAAAGGGTAGCTAGTAACAGAAGTGGCACTAGCAGTCCTATAAATAAGGTATATGATGGGCTTAGCCCCAGACAGTGATAAGAGATATAAAGAGAGGAAGGACCACTGGGGAAAATAGGAGAGAGAGAGAGAGAGAGGGAGAGTACTATAACATAGACAGCGATGTTGGATGTGAAGATAGACAATCTGGCGGCATTGGAACAGTAGACTTAGACCTGTAACTCGCGCTCTAATTATTACAAGATATATATAATGCCAACGTGATAGATCAGCATACAGAGCTAAGAGCCATCCCGATCACATTTTCATCAAGTTTTCCAAATCTCATTAGCTATTTTATCGCCAATGCGACGACTACCGAGCAACCGCTCAGATGTCGCAGGTTATTATTTCACGCTGCTTCCGTTATTCAGCACACAACAAACTACTCTTCTCTATCTCTACTCGTCTGAACTTACACACCATATAAATCTAGAGGTAAATCAGTCGCCATAAGCCTGTCATCTACGTCTATGGTACTCCATCACGCTAGAGCCGTCAGCTCCTTCCACCGAATTTGTTCTGCCCTCTCTAGAGCCTCGCTTCATAGGTTTCGCTCGGAGAATTCACTTACTGAAAACTATCAAGCCTGTCCTGTTGGGCTCTGAGATCCCATCCTGCATGTGCCGCTGTCCGGAAGGCTCTTTCGGCCGAGTCTGTCGGCACTAGATCACTTCCACCTCTCGTAGTCTTAGCTTAACTGCTGTATGGGACACGGTCATGTTAACTCGCATCAGTTTCCTGGACGTGCATAGAATAGTTAATACCTATTTCGTATCCCCACTGGTCTCGCCGATATAATCCGCGGAAATCCTCAAAGTTGCATGGTCCGAGTGAAAACTTTGAATATCATCGTCCCTGAAAAAGACCGGTACTTACAACTATTACTATTCGTGCTCTATAACTTCCTTCTAAAATCAGCCGAATCAAGTTGATTCCAAAAAAAATTTCCTCTATGCGGAAGCATATCGTCCCTCCTATCAAGTCGGCTTATCCAATACCTACTGTGGCTTTGCGCGTAACATGGCTCGATAATGTTGTATTTGTCTCGATTTAGCCACTTTATGAGCCGTCTCTGTCATGAATCCAGCTCCCAAACGCCCTCACACACCTCTGTTCCGTCTGCATTTTACTGCCTCATCTAAAACATCTACCGTGGTAACATTCTCCTGTTCGTCTCTCTTTGGACGAATGATGAAATTTGTACTGATCGCACTCCCTGATTTCGTATCATTGTTATTAGATATTGTAGAGTTTCGTGACCCAGCCTTAAATTTACCAGTCTTTCCGGCGTGATAAGATGTTTCTACGTTTGTCACCGGTCTATCCCTCATGACTTTGAGGCTACCTTTCTCGCGCACCAGTCTCACGTCGCTAAGTCCAGTTGCTTTAATATAGTATGGTATAATTCTAATTCTTCACACTTTATCTATCTTTCATTTTGACTAACTCATTTAAGCGTGGTAGATTGTAAGAGCGAATGCGTCTATCGAAGAGCTTTGAAAATTGCACCAATTCCGGCAAGAGCTTCCTGACACTTAACGAGTTATTAAGGACGAGCGAAGAATGATGGATGGGGTTGTGGCGAGTGTGAGGGGGGTGACACGTTTTTATCACTTTGATGCTGCGCTGCGCGCATAGGACTGTATAGCTAGCGGAATGTAGATCCTCTCATTTGGTGATTTACCAAATAATTAATACCATATGCATCTCTCTCACGATTCACTCGCAGTCTCTCGTATCGAGGCACCCGCTATCTCTCTCATTTCTTGCAATCTCCCGCAAATATGTGTGAGCTGTGTGCTGCACTCTCCTTCTTACCTAATTAATACATCACCCTCGTGTGGTCAAGTACGTCAGGGCGTGAAACGATTAAATCTTTATCCTCATTCTCTAATATTCACACATATATAACATAACCCTGCTATCGCCTGACTGCTTTCGCCGCGTATGCGCGAACGGGCGTATACGAACTTTTCACTTCAACCAACTTTGAACCTAGTTTATGAACTCATCCTACAAGTAGTGTTAAGTACACTACTATCCGGGGGTGATTTTATAAGATCATAGACCTACGATCTAACCACCAAACATACGCGTAATAACGCTTCGCTACGATCAGGGCGTAGCGCCGCACCGATCTTTACTCTCCTCTCTCCCTCACTCCTTCACATGTCAATTCTACCCCTTCTGCATTCCAATGTTGCTATCATTTAAATAAAACTATGAGTCCTTTGCCTGCTCCTAATTGACTAGGTCCTGCTTATTATCTTCGTCGTCGTGTCTAGCTAGTCGCTTATACCTCTTACCTTATCTCAATTACTCGCTCCTAGACAATCAGTACACCCCTAACACAGTCCGTCCTTCCCCATACGCTTTCTCTGCTCCTGCCCCTATCGGCTCCGTCCGCCTCTTTTCCATCTCCTCTCTACTTAATTATTGCGTCTTTCTCTAATGCATCGGCACTCTCTCCCTTTACTTCCGTAACCTTGTCCGCTTCTATACCTCCTCTCGCTCGGGCCCTATTATGGTGCGCCCACTTCTCTGTGCATTAAATTACAACACGTATCCTGCATACCAGCTTCATCAACTTTCTTATCAACTTCCAGAATATTTCGTACCTTTCGCAGCCCTGCGCCAGTACTTACTCTATCGTTTTACGCACACTCTGACTTCATATTGTGTATCACGTCTCTCTTACCACTAGATTAATCTCTCGCTCAAGTCATACTGTCCTCCTTATATACAGCAAATGATCTCTCTAGCTCTGCGAGACGAGTGCGAACTAGTATTAGCGTTCTCTCGCTGCCAACTCTCACTGATCATACTCAATATATTCTCGAGCTCTTGTTTTCATCTCTAATTGCTCTCTTATCTCTCTACTAGCGTATTCTTGGTATACATCTCTTGTCTACAATCATGGCTTTCTCTCTCGTTGTCTCTAGTAGCACGTCGTCTCCCACGTCGCCTAATTCTCTCTTCTAGTCGACCTCTCGGATCACTACATCTAGTTTCCGACTACATCATAATAGTTTACGCTCACATTTTATTCATCAATATCCCTCCCACCTTGCCCCTCTTGATATTGTTTACCTCCAGTCCCCTGTCTTCCTAACGTTCTTGTCTCCTGTCATTCTCAGAATTTGCACGTACTCCATCTTGCTTCATTTTCTTTCACTACGTATCTCGGATCCTTTTTTGTCAGGTCTAACATACTCTTCTGAGCATTTCGTAGATGCGTATGTTCTTCATGCCTCTACTCTACATTGTTCCTGCTCTTTTGATTCGTAGGTCCTTGGTCACAACTACTTCTTTATTGTGTTGATTGATGACTTCTTCCTAATATATCTAGCATCGTCATTCTTTAAAAAATTTTTTTACTTGATTACATTTACGAACAGGAGAAGTCGTGCGGGGGGACACTGGAGTCAGGGGGGAATGGGGGGATTGGCCAGGCTATATCATCCCCGCACCTCGCATGCGTCAGCACATTCCCACGAACGTTTCATTCTCTCACTTATACCCTCTTGAACCCACTATTCGCTATTGCTCCGCCACCCGTCACGTTCTCTTTCTCAGCTACTGCTGCGTTCTCCTCCGCGTGGCACCCTGTCTCCTGTACTGATAATCGGTTTGCTCACCGCCCTATCGCTATCGTCGTTCTCTGCACCCCTCTCGTATCTGTCCCTAGAGTACTCCCCCCGCTCTGTCTCCGTCCTCTCTCTCTCTGTTCATCTTCACCTCACGACTTCCTATCCGTAGCGATTCGTATCCTATGTACTCTTCTGTCATCTCCGTGCGAATTCGTCTTACTCTCGTCTCGTATCTCGTCTATCGCACCTTACTAGACTCGCGTGGCCCATCTGTATACATGATTCAACGCTTCCCCTCTTACGTACGATGGCTTCTCCCCGCTCGCTTCCTCGTCATAGTCCTAGACTTCGCTCTCGCCGTCCTGTGCGCTTCTTCTCGATCCCGCCCATTGCGCTGCCGCCATCGTTCTATCCATCCTTATAGCAGTGTACTATATCATCTCCCGTTCGCACACATATCTGAGCGTCACGTCGCGCAGATCTTGCGCACCCCGTGTGCTCTCTGTCTCCTCTCCTCGCCTCTCAGCTTGTCCCGCCGCTTGTTATGCTCGTTACTCCTCGAGTAAGACGCCCTCTCCGACGCCCACATGCCATGTCTGCCACTCGAGATCTCTCCGTTCTCTGCACGATACGCACCTCGCCCCCCATGTCTCCTACCATTCGTATCTCACCATCTTTCTCATCCCTCGGTCACTCTCGCCGTACGCTTCGCCATCGGCTGATCCCTATCCCAGCTTTCTGCTCGCGTCCTCTCGCTGAGTCTTCTCGCCGCTCCACCCATGGGGACCTGCTCGCCTGCGCTATTCGCGTGTCAGGCGCTCTCTCTGTATGTCTTCCCTGCTTGCACTCCTCTTCCACACGTCGACCTCACTCCCAACTTGTCTCTGACCTTCTCGCGTTCCCCCGCTCTCTGTCGATCCTCTCTTCCCCGCACCGCCTCTTCGTACTACTTACGGACAGGCTCGGCTGGCCGCCGTTCCCTCTCTCGCTCCTGACTGCCCCTGCATCCTCGCATTCTCCATCGTCCGTCTCTTATCCTGCGCACGTATCACCTGCCCAGACCTCTCGTAGCTATACACTCGCCTTCCCCTTCGCTCTCTCCTACCGTCACTGCTATGTCGTCTCTACAGTCTATATCACTTCGTCTACACCTTCTCGTTTTCTAGCACATTTACCCTGGCGGCTAGCCTTTCGCTTTCTCCCTCTCTTTAGTCGCATTCCTAGTTCCTCCTCTATCATCCTCCCTCGTCCTCTCTCTATCTGATCTGTCTCCCTCTCATCATAATACGATGCCTGGTATCATGTTAACTCTTCAACCCTATCCTTTGATCCGCCTAATGATCGGCGTCTTCCTACATATCCTATCCCCGCCCTCTCACGCTCGCTAGTCTCGCATCTTTCACTTTGCCTCTCCATC